GTAACATGTGTGTCAAAAGATTTGGTGAGTACACAAAGATAATTAGTACTACGATGCCTTTTTACTACGCCACATTACAATGAACATTGGCGTTATAAAAAAAGATTTATTCAATTTTTTGGTTTTTCTTCAAGAAACTTATAGATTACCGTTATTATTAGACTTTCCTTTAACCACTTTTTAGTATTATGCCTTTGAACTACGTAAGCATTTGTATCGCTCTTTACGATTACACTGCTCAAAACGACGATGAAATTTCCTTTAAAGAAGACGACATACTTTATATTTTAGAAAATGACGACGATGAATGGTGGAAGGCTAAATTAAAGATCGAAAAAAGTGAAGGCGGCGAAAATGCACCAGAAGGCCCGATCGGAATTGTGCCTAGCAACTACATCCAGGAGGTGTGTCTTTGAAGCTTTAAATGGGCTAGAATATAGAGCCATTAACTTATCGTGTTTGAATTACACAGATCTCTTTATTGAAATACTTTTGCTTATTTAACAATCAACTGTATTTCTGTTACTTTTAGGCTGAATGTAAAAGTGTTTTGAAAGCTGTTTACGATTATGAAGCACAGTCAAACGAAGAATTGTCATTCAAAGAGGAAGATATATTATACCTATATGACAAAGATGACTCAGATTGGTATTTGATTAAATTCAACGACGTATTTGGTTATGTGCCTGCAAATTATGTTGAAGAGGTTAGTAAAAGTAATCAATTTTAAAAGATTATCAGTTCAATTAATTTTTTGGCCGAACGCATATATATTTAATTGATTAATCATATTTTTTTGATCCATTTTTATAGACATCGTTTGATTCTGAGGAACAAGAACTACAAGAAAATCAAGAACCAAAGAAAAAAATGTCACTATTTGACGCTTTATCGGTATATAAAAACTTCTATCAAACATTCCAATTTTTACTTTTCTCAGATTCATAAAAAATTTTTTTTGTTTTCTCGTCTTTAGAGTGCATCTGAAAACAAATACGTAGATCCATTACAACTGTATGCTCGTAAGGTTGCTACTCAAAAAAGTGGCACATCAAAATCGGCACCTGCTGCTAAAACATGGTCGGTTTCGGTAATGTATTTTATTTGGAATTTTGAATCTTTTGATATATCATAAAGTCGCGAAATAACTATTCCTACACGTTATTTTATCCACCTGTGCGTCATCTCAAGACGCCGTATGTGCTAATTTGTTTTTAAAGGATACAATTTCCGAAATAACGTTCACGAGCGTTACTTCGCGACCATGCACTAATTAAATGTAAATAGATTTTAATACTCTAAATTTATTTAGGAAGTTATCGTAGTTGATAAGAAAAAAAAGAAAAAGAAGGGTAAACTTAGTATTGGGGGCGAAAATGTATTTTACGCTAGTGAAACAGACAAGGTACTTCATTTAAAGATGTTAAAAATAAAAATTATGATTTATATCTTAAATTTTAAACAGTAAATGTTATGTTCGCATTCAGACTCCAGTACAACTTTGGAATATTAGCGATGTGGAGAGTGTCAAGTATGAGAAAAAAAATGTTACAATAACATTTGGTGGTGCAAAGTCAGCAACATTTAATTTTCAGGTATCGAATAAAAATGATGCTGAAGCTATTTATCGACAATATGTGGAATGCACCGCAAGTTTAGAATTGCCAACTGTTAATGTTGACACAAGCTCTATGAAATCTCCACGACCAACTTCAGCACATGATAACCAAGATACTGAAGAAACTGAGTCACAAGCTGACGCTGAAGAAAATGATGTAGAAGAGGTTAATGAGATGGAGTTTCCACCGCCAAAAGTTGGCATTGCATTATATGATTTTGATGCTCAAGGAGACGATGAGATTTCAATCCGCGAAGGTGACAAAGTTTGGGTTGTTGATGATGTTAGCAGCAATGAATGGTGGAGATGTCGTAAAGGTGACGAGGAAGGCATGGTGCCCTCTTCTTATATTAATGTAAGTATAAATTAAATTATTTATGATTCATATATATAAATAGTCATTGAGATTAATTGTTCTTTTGCAGATACCAAATGAAGATGATAATGCTGACCAAGATGCTGTTGAGGAGGTGCGTCAACAGTTAGAAGAAGAAGAAGAAGAATACCAGAGGATAGAAGAACGATTAAGAAAAGAGGAGGACCGGCTGAGAAGGGAGGAGGAACGACAAAGAAAGGATGAGGAACGTCTGAGAAGGGAGGAGGAACGTCAAATAAAAGAGGAAGAACGACAGAGGAAGGAAGAACGACAAAGGAAAGAAGAAGAACGTCAGCGGCGTGAAGAAAGTGAGAGAAAACGTAAAGAATTAGAAAAACAGTTATCGGAAGAAAAGAAACGAAAGCAGGAGCCTGAGTCCCCACCATCACCACCACCACAACCGCCAACATTACCATGTAGGACTAGCTTCAGTAATATTCGTCTTTTCATATTTCCCATACTTTAACTTTTTATAATACAACAGCGCGCCCACCTGCCAAATCGAAGTCTTCTTCAGGTACACTAATCTTTATTACATAACCGTCTTTTTTTTTTCTTACTTTATTCATTTTGATTTGATTTGCAATTCGTAGATGAAGCTGCCATAAAGAAAATACAAACACCAACAAATCGCATATTGCCTGACAGACCAGTCCAAGCTCAATCAAAAGATAGTATGTTATTAATATCTTGTTAATTACTATTAGATTTTACGAGTTAAATTTAATTGATATTTTTTTTTTAAATCAAAGAACCACTTCCGTCGAATACAAGGCTTTGGATGGATAGAACTGGCTCATTCCAAGTTGAAGCTGAATTTCTTCAACTTGTTGATGGCAAAATACATCTTCATAAACTTAATGGCATTAAAATTGCTGTTCCCATTGATCGAATGAGCAAAAAGGACATTGCATATCTTGAGAAAGTAACGGGAGAAAAACTAGATGACAAATCTGATAACATACCTTTGGCTGCTATTGTTGCTGGACATAAAGGCAAGACGACCTTAACAAACAAACATAAATCAGAATATGATTGGTTTGACTTCTTTCTTAAGGCTGATATCACGCATGGTGATGCGTTCAAATATGCTGAAGTGTTTATCAATGAGAATATGGATGAAAGTTCAATAAATAATTTGGATCGTAATGTAATGAAAGAACTCGGCTTGAAAGAAGGTGATATAATTAGAGTAATTAAGTACATTGCCGAAAATTATACGTCCGCTAAAAAGAAAAATACTACTGATAAAAGTAAAGAAAGAGAAATGATGGATAGAGAAATTGCCAAAAAAATCCAGGTATGATGAATGAGATAATGTCTTTATAACTATTCATTATTAATGATAAGTATTGTTATTGTAATTTAACTATCTTAACATCTATTTGAACTATTATAAAGTCTGAAGAACTCGAAAAATCACAAAAAATGGCAGAATTTGACATAAAGATCCAACTGAAACGAGATGAGCAATTAGCAAGAGAACTTCAAGAAGAAGAAAACAGAATAGCACGTAGTGAAGGGAGACAAATCCCAAAAGATGCCGATTTGTATGGTAAAGGGACTTTAGACTCACTTATTCAACGGGATGATAAAACAACTTCACCAAAAACTCCGCCACTGCTTTTTTCTGAAAACAATGGTGTTTTGAAAAATAATACGAAAAAAGCCCGCCCTACGCCCACAAAAACAGCACCAATTCAAGTTGATGCAAAAACTTTTAGCAAGAATACTAAGGATCAAATCGATTCTGCTTTTAAGCCATCTTCAAATTCATCGTCTTCTAAGACACAGAAATTCGATGATAATGCTTGGAACTTTACTGACTCTACACCTGCATTATTACCTGCTTCTAAGGTGACTCCATCCCCACCTCCTCCACCTCCACCTCCACCAGCAGTCATACCAAGATCTCTAAATGAACAATTAACTAGTATCAATGCTCCGACTAATCTGAATACTAGTGCTTGGACCTCTTTAAGCCCTGCTGTTTCTTATTCCAGTAATTCATCTACATCACTTCCTGTCCCACCTTCTCAACCTTTATTACAACAAAATTTAGTCACACCACCTCCACCGCCTTCACAACCAATCGCTGTTCCATTGAATTCTACCCTTCATCAACCTCTAATTCCAGTTAAATCTGCAAGCTGGAACAGTGCAGGTACATAAAATTATTTTTAACTCGTTGAAATTATGGTTTTAATGACTTACTACTTCACACATATATAGGTTTATCTATGCTGCCAACTAATAATACTTTATCAAATCCTAACCCTGGATTTGGCTCAACTGGTATGAATATGACTATTACGACAACTGTCCAATTTTAACTCATTGAACTTATGGTTTTAATGGCTTACTACCTTATACATATATAGGTGTATCTATGCTGCCAACCAACAATATTCTATCAAATCCTAACCCTGGATTTGGCCCAACCAGTATGAATATGACTACTACGATAACTAATAATTTTAACTCATTGAACTTATGGTTTTAATGACTTACTACTTCATATATATATATAGGTTTATCTATGCTGCCAACTAATAATGCTCTGTCAAATCCTAATCCTGGATTTGGCCCAACTGGTATAAATAACCAATACATGACTACTACAACAACTGTTCAATATCATCAAACAACTTCGTTCCATCAGCCAATGCAGAATCAGCAACAAACAAATTCAGCAATGTTTGAACCTAAAAATGTGTTTGCTTCCATGAAGACTGGACAAATTGGGCCAAAATCCCTACCAAATGATTTAGGCGCGAATGGTAGTTATTAATGAAGACTTATATTACATAAGGCTTAATTTACCTTATAAATTTTGACACCATATATATATACAATATATTTTTAGCATCGACTGACAGATATGCTGCCTTGAAGCAAGTGGATCTCCAAGGCCCAGGTGTCTTCAATAACACAACATCAACATTCCAAGCACAAAGTACATATTTGATCAATTTTACGCTAATTATTTAATTCCATTTTAATCTTTCTAATGTCTTTTTCAGGCTCAACGAATTTTGGTTTAAATCCAAGTGGATTCAACACTAGTCCAGCAAATTGGAATCAGGGCGTTTCTCAACCAAACCAAAATTTTGCCGGAGGTATCCAACCTAATGCAGGGTTTGGTTTTGGTCAACAACCTGGTCAATTTGGATCTAACCAGCAAGGATTTGGTGCTAACCCTGGATTTAATAACAATCAACAATTTAATAATTTTGGTCAGGGATTTTACCAAAAATAGACAGTATATTTGCACATTTTATGGTATCAATCAACAGATATATTCTATTGGATTATATATTTATTATTTAAATGAATATCTAAATTTTATTTGTAAATTTATAAAAAATCATTATTTATTTATAGTTAAGGAAAAAAATATTAAAAATATTAATTTTAAAATTTAAAAAAAATTTTTTTGTACAAAATAGTATTTAAAATAAATTTAATTAAAAAATTTAGTATAAAATATTTTAAATAATATATATTGAGTTTATTTATTATTATTAAATATAGTTTATTTTATTTTTTAGTGTTATAAATAAAATACATATAATATATAAAGTATAATTTATAATTTTGTGAATTTACAAATAGTAATATAAATAAATTTTTTTAATTTTTTTTTTTTAAGGTGATCTTTTTGGTCTTGATTTTTATTAACAATTTTTTTGATAATGTAATTTTGTAAATTACTACAAAAAAAGTATACAATTAATTATATATATAACTTTTTTATATTACCTATTTAAGAAGTTCACTCAAAGGTTCTTTACCAATTGTTGTATCTAACACTTCTGCTCAGATGTCTTATTTTAAATTCTCTGAACCTAAACCTGTTAACATTATTGAATTATGTTTAGGTTATTATCTTAATCTTAAAATTATTTTATTTTTAAGATAAACCTCTTAGAATCTTTTATACTTATTTTTATAGTTAATCTAGATATCATATATTAGAACTAACATTTGCAATCAGAGTTATATTATTTAACTGCTATGCTTTTGTAGAGTTTACTCTAATCTTAGCATCTATTTCATAGCATATTCTTAGTATTTTAATATATTTTTATCTGTTCTTTAAACTTTCAATTTAAATAAACTATATAAGATTATAACTAGTCTATTAGTATATCAAGTTGGCTTAATATTTTTTTTATTTGGTTTATTCTAGTGTTTAATTGGTAGTATATCTTATTCAAAAGTTTTTGTTTATTTAGATACTTTAAAATTAGTATTCATTTTTTAGGTCTAGACTTTAGAATAGTATTATTAAAGATTTATACTACTTTTCTACTTGGATTTTTCTAAATAAACTTTTTGTTTTTTTAATTTCAACAGATTTATCCAATTACAAAAATTTAACTAAAGTTTGTATCATCTAATGCTGATTTGCATTTTTTTGTATAACTAGTTATACAGATATCTTATAATCTGCCAGTTATGCTAGTGTATTCATTATTACAGATATCTTAATTCAATTATTAGAAACAGTTGTAATATAAATATTATATAAGTAATTGTTCAAATTTTTACTATTAATAGAATTTAAACATCTAACCTACTATTTAGAAAGTTGACAACTTATTTATTTCATTAAGTTATCATATCCTCTATAAATTTTTTTAATTTAAAATTCATTTTATAAATCTTATTATTATTATTTTTTTAATTTCAGAATAATCTTTTTGGTCTTTTAATTTTATTAACACTTGTGAAAAAAATATTTATATAAAATTACTACAAAATAAAAGTATAACTAGTTATATATATAATTTTGTTTTTTAAAGTAATCTTTTTGGTTTTTTGATTTTTATTTATGCTTTTTTGATAATATGTTCTATAAGAAACTACTATAAAAAATATATATATAATTGGTTATATATAACTTTTTTATATTACTTATTGTCCAAAGTGTAGTGAGAACTTACAATGGAGATATAAATATACAAAATGTCTTGGGTTCCACTCATATGATATATATCCAATCAGGGTTTAAATTAATATAACAGATTAACACAGATCAGCCCAACAAAATAGAAAATCTTATAAAATTAAAAGCTTCAGACACTAATAGTACCTGTTTTTCTAGTTTAAGAAATTTGCTCAAAGGTTCTTTACTAATTGTCATATTTAACAGCTCTGCTTGGATGTTTTATTTTAAATTTTTTAAACCTGCAATCTGTATTAATATTACTGAGTTATATATAAGTTATCATCTCAATTTTAGAACTATTTTATTTTAAAATAAATCTTTAAAGCCTTCTGTATTTATTTTTATAATTAATCCAGTATTGTTATAACAAAACTAATACTTGTAGTTAGGATTAGCTATATTATTATAAAGTTTACTCAAATTCTAATATATATTTTATAGCATATTTCTAATATTTAAACTTCTAATTCAGATAATTTGATAGAATTGCAACTTGTATCTAAATATATCAAATTGGTCTAATATTTTTTTTTAATAATTCTGGTGACCTGATTGGTTCTTGTCTGTTTAAGTACTTAAATATTAGTATCTATTTTTAGTAATCTAATCTTTACAATAGTACTGTTAAAGGTCCATACTATCTTTTTACTTAGATTTTCCTAAATGAACTTTTTGTTTTCTAAATTTTATAAATTTATATAATTACAAAAGCTTATTTTAGTTTTGCATCATCTAATGTTAGTTTGTATGTTTTATTATGCCAACCTTATCAATACATTCAGAATATGTTTATTCAAAAATTTTTATTGCCTGTTTAACTTGCTAGTAAAGTTTTTTTTTATTTTAAAAACTATTATAATATACACTTATCACTATTGTTATATATAACTCATTCTTTTTATTTTTAAGCAATCCAATTGCTTTTGTCATAAAGTTAATAATGTGTATATTAAGACCCAGCTTCTGTTTTTTTAAAAGTTGTCTTTTTCTGAATACTACACTATATAGGCCTATTATAAGTATAAAAAATTATATTATTATAAGTTATCTAAATATATTTCTTTTTATTATTACTTAATTATAAAAAGATTCTAATAGTTGCATTATAACTACAAGAGGTAACTATGAAAAGAATATACAACTAGCCATTTGTATAACTTTAGTTATTGTTTAATTTAAGTAGTTCACCCAAAAATTTTACACTAGCTGTTATATCTAAAACCTGCTTGTAGATTCCCTATTTAACTATTTTAGTTTTTGTATTCATCTATCTACCTCTGCCTACCAATAATCTAGCCAATGCTGGTAAAAATATGCCATAGCTACTAAGTCTTTAAAGCAGTTTTTTGAAATCTTTAACCTTGTATTAAACTTTTCAAAACTTTCTGTATTTTATTCTTACAGCTGATCCAATATTGCTATGACCAATATCAATACTGATGGTTAGGGTATACTATTAAACTGCTATGTCCTTGTAGAGTTTATTCTAACTCCAGTACTGACTTTACAACATATCTCTACTACTTTGGTATTTAATTCAAATTCCACCAAGCTGCTATTCCAAATAGCTTGAAAAAGTAGATTGTAATCATATACTTCTGGTTTACATGTTTGCTAGCATGTACTCTTTTCTTAAAAATCTGAAATTCTGATGGCCTGATTGGTTTATCTGGTTCCTTTTCAAAGACCATCATATTTGTTCAGTTTCACAAGTTCTAGCTTCATTTTATAGGTCTAGTCTTTACAGTAGCATTTTCAAAAGTTCAGATTACTTTTCTATTCGAGTCTTCCAAGTAAGCTTCTGTCTTCCTATCTGGTTTCTATGATTTATATGGCCTAAGGACTTATTTTGAGTTCACACTGCCTGATACCAGTTTGTGTTCCTTCATACAATATTGTATAAGTGCCTAGACCTTCCAGTCATGTTAGTATGACACAAGTTACAGGTATCTAATCCTAATTAATTATAAAAAACAGTTAACTATAATACAGAAAGAATTGCAAATTTTCACTATAACTAGGATTTGAACTCTAGATCTGTTACTTGGAGGTTGACAACCTATTTACTTCACTAGGTCACTACTTCTCTAAATATATATATCTTACTAATAGTATTTATAATAAAAGCCAAGTTTTTGCATTTATTAATAAGCAGTTTAAATAGAAATGTTTAAGAATTCTATATTTAATTAGAAAAAAGTTTTTTGTTCAATATAACTTTTAATTATTTCTGAATTCATTTTGAATTTTATAAAATGCAAATAAGTTGCTAATTTTAGTAAAACCAATTAATTATTAAAAAGACTTTTAAAAGAAAACTTTTTACAAAAATTTATTTATTTTTTTTTTTATTAAGGCTGATGTTAATGATGACTAATGGCTTTATTTGTACTTTTAGTGAACACATTATACAGTATAACCTATCAAAACTGATAACCTGTGAAAATTAATAAAAAATTGAGTTACTATAACTGTTCTATAAATCAAAACTGATAACCTGTTAAACTTAATAACTGATACTTAAAAATTAAATATTTATAAAACATCAGATTTGATAGATAAAATAAACAGATTTGATTGGCTCAAATTAGCTTTTGTGTATCAAATTATAATATAAAAAATAAATCTGACCAATCATATTTGTTTATAACTATATAGCTAACAGGCATAGGACATTTCTACTTGAGTGTTGTAATTATAGGTCAAATGACTTAATGTACCTCAATTTTATATGTAAATTTATGAAAAAATTTTTAAAGTGGGATTTATATTTTTTAGCATTTAATGTTTCTTTTTTATAAATTTTTGCAGGGTATTAAAAATATAACTTGAAGAAGATCTTGATTCAAAGTTGAACTCTTCTTT